TGAATAATTATAAATTTTTTATTCAATAATCAATTAGACAGTTTATACAATTATACTATAGGAACCATTCTTGTTCCCAGAAATTATATTCATTTATACAAGATATTCATTTATACAGTATACATTTAGACAGGATCGACTGTAGACCTATAGGTTATATTACAATAACAAACTAGTTCTTAGATCCAGTAAACAAAAATTGACTTTTCTAATCACACTATCTTAATCTATAATCAAATACATAATAAACACATATATTAATTATAATATAACTAGTAGCTAGTTATTATCTATTCTTTTTTCTTTTTTTACAAAAGTTTTTAAAATTTGTATATGTTACCTTAACCTTTGCAATAGACTAGAATTAATTTATACAGTTGATAAAAAATTTTTTAATGTAATAGCTCAAATAAATTATTTGTTTAAAAAGTTTTATATTTAATGTCTATTTGCAAAAAAAAAAATTCATTTATAATAATAAGAAAATATATAATCTTAATTAAAAAGTAATAAGATTAAAAAAGTTTAAAATAGTTAATATTATATAGTAATAGCTTAATAAAATCAACTTTTTTATAATAAAATAATTAGTAAATAATTAGATTATATAGATAATATAGTAATTTTGATATTAAAAATTCAAGAATTATATATAAATTTATAAAATTTAATAATTATATAGTATATTATATTTGATAAACTTATTATATATATATTTTAAGACTTTTTATTATTTATATTATTACTTTTTTTTTATATAACAATATAATGCATATATATTTTTAATTAATTTTTATATAATAAAAAAAAATTTTTTTTTATTTACTTTTTGAAAAAAAATTTTGATTTCTGATCTCTTGTACTTTGACACTTATTGTTGACATTATCTTGTTTAAACATACAAAAGCAAAATTTATTTATACTTATAAAGAATAACAATGGTGTAATATGATAATTCAACATTCATTGCTATCAATAATCTGGTAATACATGTATAAACTAATTACCATTATTAAAAATAATAATCAGTAAAATAAATAGTAAAATAATAGGTTTTATCATTGTTTTACATACCGTGTAAAATCTCCCAGAAAACCAATAACGAATCTGGTTCGGCACAGTTTTTTTTGGTGTCTTTTTTAACGATAATGAAGGAATTTGAAAAAAACCAAGCATATGATTACAGATGTTATCGCTTAGTAATCCGATTCCCACACTACGCACATACATTATCGAGAAACTGTCATCATACTAAAAAATTCTTGTGTTGTACAGTTATCACCTATTGCTTACATAATTTACGTAATCTATGCAATTAACAAACTTAAAAATTATGCAAGTGTTTATTGGCATTACAATAAAATCTTTTTTATTTACCAATAATAGTATGAATTTAGGATTCGATTTGTATGTACAGCGAAGGCTTTTCGAACATACCTAACTTCTAATCGTTTACATTAAAATACCGTTTTGTTATATTATACGTTTTAAATTATATCAAAACAAATTCGCTTTCCAAAATGTTCGTAAATGTACAATCAATCAAATTACGTCTGCAGAAATAACCTGCATATATTCTATGGTTCGTCCTTCCGAAATCTTGCATTAAGGTAGAAATGAAAGCATGTGGAATGAGATAGAATGCATATTATTTGGTAAATCTAATTTATGCTGTGACAACGAAGTGTCAAATACTGTCTCAACTGCACAGAGAACTTGTAAGATCATTTTGCATGATCCGAACTTGCGGCCATCTTGAAAAGAGAAAGCATTTTTGACAATATTCGTCACAATAGTAAACGGTTAGTCAAAGCCGAAATTTGCTGCACAAACGTGATACGTCCAAACACGGATAGAAACAGGAGTATAATTTTTTTTATGACAAAATAAGGCAGTTTAATTATGAATCGTGTTTACTGTTTCCCATATCCTTAAGATAATCAACGGTCAACTTTCTATCATGACCGAATAAGAACCATATGTAGTGAGTTTAAGGGTGACTTCTGAATTCCCACCGAAATTCCAAAATAAGCGAATTTCTGTGGTGCCAAGAAATCTTGTGATAGTAGATTGTATCTGCAAATGTTTATGGTCGAATTTAATGAGAATGTAGACCAAGGACGTTATCTTACTTGCCAGAAACCTAAACCAGTTAGGTGAGTGAATAGCAAAGCCTCCAGCAACCATGTTATTATATTAAACTAAAAGTTACTTATTAATAAAATTTTATTGTTGATCGTATTAGTTTTTAATTAAAAGTAATAATAATATAATACGTATATACTGTACATATCGTATATTATTACATCTGCGTATATTTAAAAAATAATTTTTGTTTATAATTAATTTAAATATTTAAAACAAATATTTTAATTATAATATACAGTATATATGATTATTTGATCGTATTGTATTATTTAATTGGATGTATTGTAGATATACCGTATCGTTTGTTTTTTAAAAAATGAAATAGTTATTTTATAATAAGTATAGTATGATACAAATTAAACAAAATAAACAATACGTAATTTATTTTTATAAAAGATATAATAATTTTATTTTAAAATAATGAAAAATTAAATAAATATAGTTAAGTTTTTAAATTAAAATTTTTTTATAAAATTATAAGGAAACATTAACTTTTATTATATAAAATTTGTTTTGATTTTTATTTTATAAAGTTAATTTTCATTAACTTATTTAATTAAAAATTAATAATTCAAAACAATTGTATATAATTATTTTAATTATTTATTATTATAGTTAAATTAAATTAATATCTTTTTTAAAAAAATTTTTTTTATAATTGTTAATTTTAATAAACTTTTTTTTTATAAATTTTTATTTTTATTTTATTGAATTTTATTTATTTTTAAAGTCACATATTTAAAACTAATTAATAAACATTATTTTATTTAATTATTCTAGCGATAACTTAAATTAAAAAATAATCTTTACAAACTTGTAGAAAAATTTATTGATTAATAAAAAAAAATATATATATTTTTTTTTTCTTATTAAAAAAATTTTGTTTTTTTAGTTTATAAAAAAATGATTGATTTAACATAATATATTTACACCAAAATGAATATGTAATTTAATGAATTTATATGAATTTAATTTAATTCTTAATATAAATTAATATATTATTTCATATTACTGCATATTATAAGATTATTATATACGGTTCAAACAAGTATAGATCAATATTTTCATAAAATTGATCACTGATGCATAAGTCCTGTGAATTATTCTACCATAATCTTGTTAGTTGATTTTCTGTTTCTTTCCGTATATTCCGGTAAAGGAAAGCAACGCATCAATTTAAAACACTCCACTTTGAGAACGTGCACATTATATATTAACATAAAAGAAAAACAATAATTTTCAACGTGTGAATTTTATGACATATGTAGTTAATTATTGATATACGCATGAGGCCTAAAATTCGGTTTATATTATAGATGCAACGGAATAATAGTATGAATGAAAGTAGTCATAACCCATTTGGCATATTTATTTGCTTATAGAGATACATAATTTAAAAAGGTGGAATAACGAAGAACTAATAACATCTAAAACGAAATAATCGGATGAAATAATCGGATGAAATAGGGATATACGCAACGTTCATATTGTTTTACAAAAGGGTTTTCCATATGAATTCTTAATATCCTTTTCTGAAAAAAGGTCGAAAAAAGAGTAAGATGGGAAATCTTAATTAAGAACGAATATCGATTTTAATAGATAAAAAAGGCCAGGTACTGTATAAAGGGAAATTTGGAATGACGTAATTAGCGGTCTCGAAAAGACCACCCAAACTTTATAATCGTTTAATATTAATATGCGATTTACGATTAACCTTACTGGCGCAAGAAAACATAGGAAAAATTAGTAACCAGTACATAATAATTTCCTAATAAATACAAAAGAGCGTGCAAATTTGTGGCCCAGAAAGGAATTTCTATGATAAGATCGTCACAAGAGATGTCAAAATTGGAATCGAAGTTGAAATAATAATAATAAAAGAATGATTGCTAAAGAATTACCTTGAAGATCGATCCCATTTTCAAACGGATGAAAGATAATTCTCAAGTAGCAAAAAGCTTAGATCTAGGGTAAGGAATATTCGTTGATTTATTGGTGCAGAAATTTAGTTTATTTGAAAAATTTTTTGGATCGAAGTTGGAGAAAATACGTTTGTCTCCGAAGAATGAGAAAAAAAATTTTTTTTTCTTTTCTCTTGCACAAGAAAATTACATGTGCTCTTCTTTTCTTGAAAAAAAAACCACTCGTACGATCGAGTTTTTATTGATAGAATAAATTTTTAAAGAAAGGAGGGTCTAAGCCGTATACTTACCATTGAGAAAAAAAAACGATTCATCATAATCGAACTAACAAGGGATTTTGACGTTAAAGAAATATAACAAGAATGATCATTAATCCGAGAGTAATGATAGATTCACTCACATACGAAGGCCGGAAAAATCATGGGACTAATTGAAAAAATTTTTTCTACATCGCCGATAGTCAATTTATACTCGAAAATGGGACAGAGAAATATTTTTTTTTTAACCAGACAGATGCAATTTGTATAAAAATTTTCATTATTAAAAAATTTTTTCCTTTCTCTCGGATGCAAAAACATCAAATTATCAAATTAGATATGCTGATGTAAATCACTCATTTGAAGCTACGATGTACAAACTAATAGGGAAACCCTGATAAATTATTAATTTACGTATTTGTTTATGAGAAAAATTTTTCCACTGAATTTAAAGATTGTGCATTCCGTATAATTATCCGGTGCAACACGGAGTTAGAAATGCACTCATTGGTATCAATAAAAAAAAAGTTTTGAAGTATCAAGACAAGCGATTATAACGTTTAAATATGGTGAAGACTTGATTAGAATAATGCGGAAAATCTTTATGAAAAATGGTGAAGCGATAGATAAATGTAGAACTAGAGTAGTGAACTCCGAAAAAGTTAAATTTTTTAACTTAGAGAATATAAATGGTTAAAACATTACTATGATGTCAAAAAACGTTTTTAACCTATTATGTTAAAACGCATTATTAAATTATATTATAAGCTAGATCGGAAACTATGTTATACTATAAAATATCGTATACTAAAAAAAAAAAAAGATTTTTTTATTTACCTTTTAAAAAGCGCTAACTTACAATCTATGCAAACATTCTCATTATAAATCTAAAATATAATCTATTTTACATTAAACTTTGATTTTTCTTAGATAAATGGCGTCAAAATTTTATCAAATCTAGTAAACAATAAATTATCGAATCTCAATATCTAAAACATCATACAATATAATATTCTATGCAGAAATTACAGTAATTTAATTGTTTCGTGTCAATTGTTTTTCATTTCTAATCAAATTATATGCTGTATATATTTTTTTAATTATTTTAAAATTCTGTTTGATTATTATATTACATAAAAATAATTTATCACGGTAATATATTTAATTCAATAAATTTTTGTTATTATTATATTTTCTAAAGTAATAATATATATATAGATCATTATTGCAACTAAGTAAGATCTTATTAAACGAAATATTTTAAAATCTTAATTAAATTCTTAAAAAACTATTTAAAAAAAACCAAAAGATAAAATTAAAAAAAAATTTTTTTTATTTTATTTATATGAAATCAATATTAAAACTATTAATAAAATTAATTTAAATAATTAATTTAGAATCGTAAAACCTCGTAAAAAATAAACAAGTATAAAAAAATATTTAAAAACAAAAAAAAATTTTTTTTTTTTAAATTCAAATTAAAAATTAAAAACTATTATAATTAAAATTAAGTATAAAATTTTAATTTTTTTAAAGTCTTTATAAAAAAAAAACCTAATTAAAAAGCAATATCAAATTATATTAAAAAAATTTTTATAACAACTATCATAAATTAATAAAATTAATTATATTAATTAATTAATAAAAAAAAAATTATAATTATAATTAATAAATTCTTTTTATAATTTATCTTGGATTTATATATTTTTTTAAATATTAACAAATAATATAATTATTGAAATATAATTTTAACTTTTTCAGTAATTTATTTTTAAGCAAAATAAATAATTAAACTTTACTTATCAAATATAAAAAACTTAATTAAAATAAACTTTTTAAATTATAATTTCTTTAAATAATTTTTTTATTTCAATTTAAATTAAATTTTTAAATTTATTTTTATTATGTTTTCAAAATATGTAATTAAAATAACCAATAATTTTAAAATCTTTTCACAAAAATTCAATATATTTAATAATTTCACAAATCTTAAAATTAAAATCAATTTATTATTTTATTAAATTAAAAAAAAACTATTTTAAAAAATTTGAAAATTTTTATTAATAATTTAAAAAACTATTATAATATTTTATTCCCATTGTTTAAATTATACTTTTATTTTTTTTTTAAAGTTAATTTTATCTTTTTTATATTAACCTTCTTTTATTTTTATTATTTATTAAAAATAAATAATAAAATTAAAACAATTTAAAAAGTATTATTAAATATTTTTTTTCAAATTAAATTAAAATCATATATTTTTTTTAATATATTAATATAATATAAACAATTCTCTTTTTTTTTTTATTCAATCTTAAAAAATTAAAAAAAATTTTATTAAATTTTTTAAATTAAATATTGTTTTTAATTTTTTATATAATTTTAATTGGATTTAAAAAAAATAATATTAAAATTATAATCTTATTATATTGAATAATTTTAATAAGTAAAAAAAAACAAATTAATATTTTTGATAACTACTTGTATAAAAACTTATCTAATTTTTTTTTAAAAACTAAAAAAATTAAAAGAATATTTAAAAAATACAGTTCAAGAAAATATATTTACAATATATTAATATATTTAAATTTATTTTTTTCTTTTAATACAAATTCTAAATTCTAAATACAATTATTTTTATTACTTAGAAAATATAAAAGAATTTGAATATTTAAACTTCTACTTTTATATAAAAAAATCTTTCAAAACAATCTTTCCTTTCTTTTAATAATTTTAAAATTAATTTTTTTGAAATTAAAATAAAGATTCTTTATAAAATTATTATTGTAAACAAAATATCATTATTAATATTATAAAATTATTATATTTTTTTTATAAGTTTAATTTTTTTTCAAATATT